TGAACGAATGAACAAATGAATAATTGAACGAATAAATGAACAAACAAACGAATGAGTGAATGTGAATAAATGAACGAATAAATAAATGATGATAACGCATAGCGACGAAAATAAGATGCAAACAAATGAACGTACGAGAGCGAACGAAAAAACGGACAGATGAACGGATGGATGGACGGATAAACGTGTAAACCCGATTAATATCTTTATGAATTGAGAGAAAATACAAAAATAAAAAATTGGAAGACAGAAGAAAAGTAATGAAAATAAACTACCTACGTGGCTGACCAACTAAATAATAATTGACTTACCAACTAACTAAAAAACTCACTTATTAACGAACAATATTTACCCAAGTTTTATACGAAACAATATGACATTCTTATCTAGCGTTCAGAACCATTAGTGGAACTATCAATCTAGTACTTATGAATTACGTAATTCTTAACAACACAAATAAATATCAATGAATCTGAGAATAAATAATATTTTTGCTGAAGCTAACTTTTGAATTTTGATGTACATTTGCATTTGCACGCATTGCTGTTTTAATTTTCTTTTTTGATTCGGAAATGTTAAGTAAAAGCCACTGTGAAAAAAAAAAATAAATAAAAAAAATAAATAAATAATAATAAATAAATAAATAAAAAAAATCTAGCTTATACGTCGCAATATAACTCTTAGTGCAGCACTAAATTGTTTGTATTAGACAAGAACCAAGTTGTATCTAATATTCCGAGAGAAATATGGAGCGATTCAAGATTTCATAGCAATCGTAGGTAATGTACTGCATTATTTAGTTGATCCTCATCAAAATTAATAAGGAAAAACAATTTGCTTGTAGAGTGGAAAATGGAGTAAATGTGCTTTTTCAAATGAGTTAAGAGTTTTCAGATTGAGATCGAGTATTTTTCATTATTGTGATAATTATACAAAATTTATAATAATAATAATAATAATGTGCACAATTTACTCACTTGTAAAAAAAATGGTTTCTTCTCTGTCTTTGATATTTAGATTTTGAGATAATACTAGTGACAGTATTAATTAGAATACAGAAAAAATAAAGTCAAATTTCGATTTAACACGTTCACACTTTTCTATGACTTGTTTCACATCTTTCTCTTTTTTACCTTTAAAAATTGATTTCTATCCGTTTCTATCTGGTTTTTTTCCCCTCGCTTTTTCTGACTTTCAATACTTGATTTAACAGTGTCTTTACTGTCACCTTTTATAGGTTTAGAGATTGAAATTTGAATCTTTCACTATCTTAAAAACAAGGAGAGTTCGTAAAAGCATTTATAAAAACTCTCTTTTTTCTTGTTCCTCTATTCGCCCGAAGCTTGATCATTTAGATAAACCAAACTCAAAATGGAATCCGGAATCTCTGTGTGATTTTCACTTTTATGTTGGCGAAAAATCAACCGCATTTTAAAACTCCCTCAAGCTATTTAAAAATAAATATAATGAATAACATTTC